CTGCTTGTCTACCATGACTGGATCTGATGGTGGGAAACGTTCGGGGAAGTCTGGGAGCAGGCGCAGCGGAACAGCAGAGTCGGTTCTCGTCCAATCATGGAAGCTGAGATGATGGTTCCTTCCCTCCAGCCTATGTGTGACGCACGTGCGAAGAGCACGTACGGAGATGGTGAGAGAGAGAGAGAGAGGAGATGGACACACATGAGAAGCAGCAGTTGAGTGAAGGTCCAATCCCTTGAATGAACGAATGAGGAATCAATGAACCAACTGACTGACCGGACCTCGGCCTAGGCCGAAGTGATATACAGGCCTAGGTCCAGGTACGGGAATCAACCTGGTACCGGGCCAGAGTCAGGCCGACGGTCTGAAACTGGTCCGGCCTCACTGTCGGGCCGTAGGGGTACCGCTACACGATCCTCAGACCTGTGAATGGATCAAGCGATACATCAAACACGCTATCCGCTGAAATAGCGGAAACCCAAAAGGAACTGCAAAGGAAACAATCCTAGATGTGGAGCAAGCTCCATGCAAGAAAAGAGATGCAATGCAGACTAAGCCTCAAGCCTAATCTATGCAACAATGTCTGGTCTTGACTCGACCCAAAAAGCAGCAAAATGTCTGACCGATGTCGGCCAAGAAAGCGAAAAATGTCTGACCTGTGTTGGCCAGGAAAGAGAAAAATGTCTCCTGAGCCAAAATGGCTGAATATAAATCAACACCAGGGCCCTAAAGTCCAAAGAATAACTAAACCAATGTCCTAAGTCGAAAAAGAATGTGGCACAGTCTCACGTGCCCTGTACACAATGCACAATACCTGAACAAAAGAGAAGGGAACTCGGTCGCATGGCAGAGGTAGGAATGGGTGGGAAGGCGGCAAGTATAGTTCTCAGAGTCAACTCCAAGCGGACACCCACACAACCAGGTAAAGGTCATCAGGCTCAGAGGGAGAGTAACAGCACGACACCAGGCTCAATGGAAACCATCAAACGAGTACCGCCAGCTGAAAGAGGAAGGGCACTCACACAAGGGAGCACACATAAGGTGAGCCTGGAAGGAGAGAGGTTTATGCCGGCATAGACATGTGGCCAAAAGTCGCGAGCAAGGAAAACGTACACTCCAGAGGAGGGCGCACAGCATAAGGTAAGGCAGAAGGGCGGCAGGCAGACACACCCACATAGACAAGGAAAATAGGGATCATCATGCGACTGAAGGGTAAGCTCGAGGGTGGTGGATAGGTGGGAATGATGGGAACTCTGTAGCCAAAAAAGTGAAGTAGTCCAACTGATGAGTCTCCAGACTGAAGTCGAACCGAAGTAGCCTGGATGAAGTAGGAGTACCGCAAGAACCGAGTAGAAGTCCGGAACAATGCGACGGGTACTCTGGTACTGAGGAGAAACACTAAGGTCGAAAGTCGAATGTAGAAGCTGAAACTGGGAGTTGTTGCATAAGTGTCCAAGAATAGTAAAAGATAGAGAGCATATAGGGGGTGTAGATCAGTCACGATAGCGAGAAGGAAGTCGATGGGTACGCAGAGGGCGAGAGGAGTCAACTGCAACAACAGGCGGAACCACATCCACAGGGGAAGGAGGACCTGAGGCGGGTACCGGTGGAGCAGGAGGACCCATCGATGGAGGAGGGGGAATGTTAGTGGTCGCTGAGGTAGATGGGTCAGTGGGAGGATGAGAAGTAGGAGGGGATGACGATGAAGGGAAAGGGTGAGCACGATCGTAAGCACACACGAAAGTCATGGCATGCTTCAGATGCTCAAGAGGCTCCCAAGTAGACTCCTCGTCAGGATAACCCTTCCATCGAACGAGATACTCGAGGCAGGGAGGGTCACCATCAGTCATATGCCGGGACGCGATATCAGAGATGACAAACTCCTCGTGACCCTCAATGATGATGGGAGAGAGGCGAGGGTAAGGTCGATCGTGAAACTCGAGGGGAGACCGTCTGAAGGGGCGCAAAAGAGATACATGGAACACGTCATGTAAGTTAGCGCGGTACATGGAATTGGGGAGCTTCAATTTGAAGCTCACCGGACAGTCATGATTGGGTCCGGCGGGTGCAAGAATGGTGCATGGTCCAATATATCGACATCTGAATTTCCGAAGCGTGTCAGCTTCGGGCTAGAAGTGACGTGCGTCGACAAGAACCTCGTCGCCAACTTTGAAGGGATGGTCGATGCGAGAGCGGTTAGCGCGAGTGGCCATGCGGGCTTGGGAGTCGGCACTGCTCTCGCGAGCCTTGCTAAGAAGCGCATCCATCTCCTTTACCCAGTCATCGAGGGCAGGGCATTTGGTGTCGGGATGGATCTGAGATGGACGGAGAAGGTCAGATGGGACACGAGGATGGTATCCCAAGTCACAGTAGTAGGGAGACATGCCAGTAGCAGGTGAAATAACATGGTTATAAGCAATCTCTACGTGAGCAAGGTGGAGATCCCAATTAGAGTCATTCTCAACAAACTTCTTGAGGATACTCCCAAGAGTTTTGTTGGTGACCTCGATCTGTCCATCTGACTGGGGGTGATAGGAGGAGGAGAGGCGGAGCTCGGAGCCATAGATCTCATAGAGTCCACGCCAGAAATGAGAAGTAAAGTGGGGATCACGATCAGATACGATGCTAGTGGGGAGACCGTGATGAATGGCAATACGGTTGAAGTATAGGGAGGCGATGTCTTTGGCTGAACTAGCATACTTGCAAGGGAGGAAGTGAGCATGCTTAGTCAACCGACAGACAACGACGAAGATGGCGTCGTGGCCTCGTGGGGTAGGGGGACGAAGAGGACCGATGAAGTCCATGGAGACAGAAGTCCAACGCTGAGTGGGAATGGGTACGGGTTGAAGAAGACCGTAGGGGGGGTGGTTGGGAATGTTGGCCTCTTGGCAGATCCTGCAGGTGCGGACGTACTCCTTAGTGAAGGGACGATGATGCTCCCAGTAGTAATGGAGGTAGAGGTGATCAAATGTCTTGAAGACACCGAGATGACCGGCGGCGCGCTGGTCATGACACTCAGCGACGGCCCGAACACGGAGCTGGCCAGTAGAGGGCACACATAAGCGGGGAGTACGGGTACCTTGGTGACCAAGCCAGTATAGGAGTCCAGAGGGATCGAGCAGGAAGTTAGGGACGGACTTGCCAGCCTGTAGGTCAGCGTAGATGGACTGAAACTCAGGGCACTGGGTGTATGCGCGACAGTACTAATCTAGAAAAGCGGGGTGATGGTGGGAGCTAAAATAACAGATAGTCGACGATCCTCGCACTGAAGGTCGGGGCGGCGGAATAAGGCATCTGTGACGCGATTGCTTTCACCGGAAATCTTCTTGATGCTAAAGTCGAACTCTGAGAGGTCACGCCACCAACGAGCCTGGCGAGAAGTGAGCTTAGGCTTCATCTGGAAGGCGGCGAGGACAGAGTTGTCCATCAAAACGGTGGAAGTGTGACCGTGCAAGTGATGACGCCACTTCTTAACAGCGTAAACCAACGCAAGGACCTCACGCTCGTCGGCAGTATAGTTACGCTCAGCGGGAAGTAGCTGTCGAGATAGATAAGCAACCGGACACTCTCCATCGCAAGACTCAACTGTACCGTCATCAGCGACGTCAAGAATGTAAGGGGGTGGGGCCCCTAAGGGGGTGGGCTCGATGGGTGCAAGATGAGCCGCAGCCGCTGGAGGTGGAGGAGGAAAGCGAGGAATGCGAGGGAGGCGGGACTCTGTGGAATCGGGAGAACTAGAAGGGGCTGGGTAGATCTGGGAGAGAACAACTCCAATTGCGAAGCCGGACGCGTCGGTGGTGACGATGAATGGACACGAGTAGTCGGGTAAGTGTAAGACAGGAGCTGACGTGACAAGTCGCTTGAGAGAGCGGAAGGCATCCTCGTGATTCAGGGTCCAATGAAAAGGGAGACGTCCGCGGGTCAGAGGGGTAAGCTGGGAAGAATACTGCGCGTAGTTTTTGAGAAAAGGACCATAGTAGTTGGTCAAACCAAGAAAACTACGTAGGGCGGGGAGAGATGTAGGAGTAGGCCAATCGACGATGGTCTGGATCTTCGAGTCGTCCATGTGGAAGCCGTGATCGGATACCTGATGCCCGAGGAAGTCGACTTTGGGTTCAACAAAGATGCATTTGGAAAGCTTCGCATAGAACCCGTGGTCACGTAGTCGCTGCAGGACACTGCAAAGATGGGTCGGGTGATCCTCTAGGGTACGACTGTAGATCAGGATGTCGTCAATGTAAACTAGAACAAAGTCCTCAAGAAGGTCTTGGAACATCGTGTTCATAGCTGTCTAGAAAGTGGCGGGGGCATTACGGAAACCGAAAGGCATGACGATAAACTCGTAGTGCCCGAAACGAGAACAAAAAGCAGTCTTGGACTGGTCCTCCTCGGCTACGCGGATTTGGTGATATCCGCTACGAAGATCGATCTTCGTGAAGAAATGGTGGCCAGCGAGGCGGTCAAACAGATCATCCGCATGAGGCATGGGATAGTTGTTTTTGACCGTGTAGTGGTTGAGACCGCGGTAGTCAATACAGAGACGAAGGGTGCCGTCCTTCTTGCGATCGAAGAGGACCGGGGCACTCCATGGGGAAGTACTCGGTTTAATGAAGCCCTGACCAAGCAGCTCGTCAAGTTGGCGCTTGAGTTCCTGAGCTTCGGGAACCGAAAGGCGATATGGGGCACGATTCTGAATGTGATAGTTGGGCTCGAGATGGATGTGGTGCTCGATATCGCGCATGGGAGGAATACTATTGTAGGAGACGGATGGTGGGAAAACATCGTGATACCTGCGAAGGAGGGAACCAACGCTAGGCGGCAAGGAAGAAAGAAGGGTGTCAAATTCCTTGGCAGCGGCGACGTCTGAAGCAGAGGTGGAGGGAGTCTATGTGGAGGTGGGGACTGCGGGTGTGTCCGTGGTAAGGGAAGCGAGGAGGTGAGATGGGCTAGCAGGGGTAGAGGAGGGTAAGGAAGTTGAGGAATCAGGAGGGTCAAGGGGCTCGGGAGGTGGTGGATCGAGCTCGACTAACTCAACGTCCTGATGCATGGAGTTGCAGGTGAGGAGATCCGTGATGTCAACAACATAAAGTTCTACATCAGGCTGACGAAGGAAGTGGTGGAACTGGGTAGGTGTACAGATGGTGACATTAACAGGGGGGGGGAAGTGCATAGTCCGATTTGCCCAACAACGGAATACAATATTGCTTCCCATCCTTGGCGTCGAGGACGAGATCGTTGTGGGTCCAATCGGGGCCGGCATGGGCGAACTGATGGGAGTAGGCAGTGCCGAGAACAAGATCGTATAGGGTTTCCATGACGTCGAAGGTCCACTGGTCATGGAACCGAGGGGCCTTGTGAAGGCTGTGGGGCATCCGCAAAGGGAAAGAAAACGGAAGATCAGGCACCATACAGTCGACGAAGGATTTGGCCTGATTTTCGCCAAGCCTGACAGTGACAGTGGAACGGTAGGGGGATGTATACAAAGATGCCTCCTTAACTACACGAGGATGAATGAAGTCGCCAATAGAGCCAGAGTCCCATAGTGTGCGATACACTCTAGTAGAGGTCCCGAGGCGCACCGGAATGATCGGTAAGGTGCGATCGGGATTGCGTAAGCGTTGAGACATCGCGGACAGGGTGCGCTCTTTAAGGCGGATACGTTCCTGACGGACCTTAACACACTCGAGGTTCAGGAAGTCGATGATATCCTCAGCTGCAATAAGGGAAGCACTGCAATGGGTCGTGCGAAGAGCACGCCTGGTAGGAGGACATGGAGGAGGGGGGTCACGAGAGATGCTAGGCGAAGAAGGAGAAGGTATACCAGTGTCGGTAGTGTTAGCCAAACATAAGGTCGAGCCAAAGTCGTCGGGAAGAGTAGCAAGCGGCGCAAAGGTAGAGTTGCGAACGGGTATGCCTGCTATCGTAGGAGGGACTGGGGAATGAGACATCGCGGCTACGTGGGTGCTGCGCTAGAGGTCGAGACGGGGGGAACAGCCTGAGGACGAGCCTGCTATGCGAAGTGACTCTGGAGGGAGTCTGTGTACGGGCACGTAGAGGAGGTATGGCCGGCGAGGCGGCAGCGGGTGCAAATGCCTCGTGTACGAAGGTCCTCACTCTCAGCGATGGTCAAGCGGCTGCGAGGGAACACAAAGCCCACTGGGAGGGGTAGTTGAGGGACTGTAGAGCGAGTCCTGGAGGATGAGGGCTGGCGACGGAGGAGGGCGGAAAGGGCCCGGACGAGGCGGTCGTCCTCTGCGGGAGACTGAGGGTCGGGTCCCTGGTCTGGGTCACTCGCAGAACCATCTGAGGCGGTGCCATCATCAACGCTCGACGGATCACGAAGCAGGGCATGCAAGTGGCGAGAGAGGGATCGTTCAGAGCCTCTACGAGGGCCACGACAGTATGTGGAAGACTGTCGAGGCTGGGAAGGGCGAGGGCCTACAGTAATAGTGGAATGGGCAGCGACGGGCTGAGGCGAGGAGCCGACGAGTGGAGCATAAGTGAGATGAATGGCCCTAGCCATGTTGAAAGCCTCTGGTAAGGTGGGAATCGAATACGCCATCATCTGCAACTGGAATGGCTGGGGTAGACCTGCGCGGAATCGCTGGATCATGGTGTCCTCCGGTATGGCTGTGACGGGAATCTGGGCGCATACACGGTGGAATGCCGTGATGTATGACTCTAAGGCATTGTTGCCACCAAGCCATCTGATCTCAGCCACACGTGTAATCGGGTCGTGGGTTGGCGCAGGGCGAAAAAAGTACTGTTGAAGGGAGTCACGAAACTCAGGATAAGACATGCCCTCATGTACGCCGCGCTGTGAGCGAAGGGCGAGGAAGTCGTGCCAGGTGGAGGCTGCACGACCTATAAAGTGAGAAGACATCTCGACGGGCCACAATTCCATGGCGACACAATGATAGCGAAGCTGCTCCTTAGTAGTAGAGATCCATCCTTGGAGCTTGGAGGCCCTGCCGTCAAACTGTGGGAGGCGATCCGGTCGAAACTGTGGAACATACATCGGGGGCCGATAACGGTTAGGGAGAGGAAGAGGCGACTGTGACAAGCGGGCAGAAGAAGTAGTGGCACCAGCAAGAGCACTAGAAAGAGCGGGAAGCTGGGGCAAAGGTCCCTGACACATCGTGGTGGCCGGTGATGGGAGAGTGAAATGCATCGCAGCAGCCTGTGTCTGATGTTGTCGGTAGATGAAAGGGGCAACGGGTTGTGTCGCGAGGTGGGGAGGCAGGGGTTGACCTCCTTGGAG